GGGGGGGGGGGGGGGGAAATCAGAGCCAAAACCCATATTCCCCCTCTCAAGCCTCCCAGGACAAGAAAGCATTTCCGCCTGACCTTGACTTCAAAACCCCTTGCAAAAACTTCAATGGAAACCAAATTGATTAAAAACTCTCATTTTGGAAAAAATGAGTAAATCCAAAACATCCAAAGATTTCTGTTCAGTGCATTAAATGCTGGCGAGCAGTTATTTTCTAGTTCTCTTTGAGAAGAGGAAAAATTGTGTGTTAATCACTTTGTTAATCACTTTTTTTTTCCAGTCCGTTTCTCCTGATATTGTGGTACAAATCAAGATCATTACAGCTTATTCTTTCACGTTAAACAAACGGCAAAGGCAAAAAGACTGGGGAAAAAAAAAAAAATAAATCCATGAAGGATGGCAACACAGAGGAAAAAAAAAAAAAAAATCCATGAAGGATGGCAACACAGAGGAAATCAACTTTCCCCCCAATCTAAAGCTTCCTTCTCACAGAGCAGCAAAAAGTTTACCTAATGGAAGATGACTATTTCTGGGTGAGTGGCCAGAAGTGGACTCCTGTTACTGACCTTAGAATTAAATCCTTTGCTTTCTCTGAAATGGGCACCTCTGGAGGAAATACCAACGTTTCTTTCCAGTTCATAACTTTCCTGTAAGTCTCTTGTGGTGTTTCTGAGCAGAAAGGTGGATACCCTGCACAAACAAACAGAAAAATCAACAAGCTTTTCCCAGAAGAGCAAAGTGACTTGGGCCTCTGCTTTTGCCACAATGGCTTCCAAATCTAACAAGTAGTACTAGCCAAAAGTTTTCTCTTCTGTAATGCAACATTAAAGGTTAACTTGTTACTTCCAAGTAATGAGACTGAACCTCAAAAACACTTAATAGTGAACAGTTACTCACTGAAACAACTAACTGAAGCACCATCTCTTACTGTCTTCTTGGAAAGGTGGGAGGACTTAAAAGTTTTCTGGAAGCTAAATTTGGGGCTTACTTCAGGTAGAACTGAATGAAATTCTGGTACCTCCACTACGCAGGGAATCAGATTCAGTGAACCAATGGACCCTGTTACCTTTGAATCCTTTGAATGATTCCTAATTTGGGGTCTTTAACATACCTATTAGCATTTCATACATAATCACTCCCAAAGACCACCAGTCACACAGCTTGTTGTACCCAGTCTGCATAAATACTTCTGGTGCAATATAGTCTGGGGTTCCAACAGTAGAATATGCCTAGGGGAAAAAAAACCAAAAAACAGAATAAACTCTTTAAAAGATAGATACCATGTTTTTACACTTTGCAAAATCTTTTCCTGGGGATTCACATATAGGAACTTGTAATGTGGATGGACAAGAATGCTTAATTCGAGAATTCACAGTATCTAAAATCCTAAGAACATTATTCTTTTACATGAGTAAGCACAGAGAACCTTGAAAGTAAATGGAAATCATCCTCCTAAATGTGACAAAACCATAGAATATTCTCACCGCAATATCAGAAGGTCATCTTAGCCGAAGTTTCAGGTAGCCACATTACTAAAATACCCAAGAAATCCTGTTGTTGTTGTAGTTGTTTTTTTCGGTTGGTTGGTTGGTTTTTGTTTGTTTGGTTGTTTTTTCTCCCCAAAAGGGACAACCAGTGGTAGGTTCCCATGTGTGACACTCATGATACACTAGGTGTTACATGTATTACCTTGTCTTTATTGCAAAATTAATTTCAGTTTTTACTGGACCCAGGCTCCATCCTATTAACCTTTTAAATGTGCAGCCTAGATGATTCTGGCTAATGACTAAATCTTGAGCTATTTGGGAATTTCTCTTTACTGATGGAAAATTTTGCAGAGGGCCAGGGGGCAGGGGGGCGGGGGTTTGACATGACACCAAAAGCCAACAAAAAACCCACAAAACCAAAAAAGTCCACCAAAACAAGTTTTGCCAGAAGAATCTTTTACTCAAATTTGTCTGACCAGAAACAAAATACTTCATTTTATTGAACAGAGCTGAGACATTTAGTTTTGAACCAATGGAAAACCAAGAACATGGCTCCTTTTCACATAGTGTTGATGCTAGTTGTCATTTAGGCTTTTTATTCTCTCCGTTGGACTGTCTCATGATTCATTTAGCTTCACCACACAGTTCTGCCACATCAGTCTTTACTGACCTGTAGATGTAGTCTTTTCAGGGATCTAGCCCCAAGTGGGAGTAAGGCTGTGAAATACAGCCCCTATGAGGCAGCACGATTGCAATGTAATCTCATTATCTCTCATGAAGAAAGAAAAAAAAAACAAAAAACAACCCAAAAGCTTTTTGGGAATACTGCAGCATATCACTTTTTGAACAGAGTGTGCAAAAGAAGTTCAAAAATTGGAAAACTGAGGTTTTTCCAACTGCTGTTTGGTGAAAATCATGAGCAGGGCTGAAATTCTGAAATCCTATAGCTGACAGGTACTTTCCTTTAATTCAGTTAATGCTAGAACTCCCTTTATTACTTGACCACTCTTCATCATAAACCCAGGCTGCAGCACTCCAGTGTCAATACCCTTCACTGCCTTTCCATCATACTCCCGTTTAGCAGAAGGACAAACAAGTTTTCCCCACAATTCTCTGAAAAAGAACGACGCAGCTATGCATCTTCCCGTGACACTGAACTGCAGGAATTAAACCCAGGAGTTAACACACAGCGTCAACACCAGGTCAGTCTAGGAGACAACTTCAAGATACAGCTTTGCTAAGCGGTTGCTGACACCTGAGGTTAGTCCAGATGCTCAGAAGGGAAACAAATGCATAGAGAAGAGCAGGGTCTCGCTAGTCACAGCTCTGAAAACAGACAGCCAAAGCAACCCTGATCTCTATGCTATTCCACAACTGGAATCACTAGACCACCTTCTTTTGATTTATTTGCAATTTGGGGAGCTTGAAGAGATTGATATCTGCAATGGATGAGGGCCTTTCAGATTTTAAAAAACAGCAGCATTAATGTCGAGATTTTATTTAACATTTTCTATAAATAGTTTAAAAGCAAAAAAGATTATACATAATTTTATTAACTCACCAGCTGCCGCCTGTTCTTCTTCCATGTTTCTGCTTTTCTCTTTGAGTTCATATTCTGAAATGCTAATTTACAAAATAGTTATTAGATAATAAATGTATCTGTGAGAATTAAAAGATCAGTAACATTCTTTTTTCAAAGAATAACTATTTTTTAATCTTTACAATGCTTTACTCTAGAAACAAATACTTGATTATAACTGGAGGCGGAAAAATGATAATGAATAACTACTGTCCAATTTGCAGCTGAAACTCATGTAAGTAGGACACATGATCAGCATTTCTAAATTAGAACTTCCTGAAAGTTTTACAGATTGATCCAAGATCAGCAGCACTTGTTGCAGCTGGCAACATATATTCAGATATGGGTGACGGTATTTTTTTTTAAGCAACAAGTGAAGAATCCAAGAACAACTGCAGAGGAATTCTACATTTGCAGAATAAACCACTAATGTGGATGTGTCACCAAGGCATGTTGATAAACAAGTCTACTCTTATGAAAAGCTTCATGAGATTGTCACTGACTTCAGTAAATCGGCACATGAAACCCATGTCCCTTTTGAAAGAGCATTTCTCTAACTTCACTAATATTGTTATAAAAGCACATTAAAATATAGATACATTACACTATGTGTATTTGTATCTGTGCATAAATGTGCAAAAATGCATTAACACTGCAGAAATCATAATTTCTTTCCTGTGAAATGCTTCCATGTCCTGGGGAACATGCATTTCCAGTTTTCCAATTAAATGCAATCAGCCTGACCAATCTTGCTTGTCCCAGCAGAAATAACTTACGATGTGGCATAGCTGCAGCTTAAAACTATTTTAATATTTAACTAGGACACCCTATACTTACAGAAGTCACTTGGCGGGTTGTGTGTAAGGTTCCTGTAGAACTCTGTTCTATGAGCTTTCTTTAAACCTGTGCATAGCCCAAAATCAGACAGTTTTACATGACCCTAAAAAAAAAAAAATATCAGAAAAGGTGAAAACATAATTTAGAAAGGGTGTGCTTGAAAAAGAAAGTTTTAATAACTGCACGTGCCTTCTCAGGCCATGATGACTTGCACAGGACTACCTAGTCCAGGACAAGTAGGCAAATAATGACTGAACCTTGGTGTACTGTGAGAGTGTGTTTTCTCTCAAACAGGTTATTACCCCTTGGGAATGGTTACAACTGCAATTCTGAAACAGCTGTGGGCAGCTAGTTTGCCTCTTTTTGTTTTGAGCTGGATACCACTGAGACTGAGAAAGTCTCCAGGACAAAATTCCTTAGTCTTGTTTTGATGGTAACCTGGCTTTAATCAGGTTTCCAGACATCAGTGCTAGATAGTCTACAGACTTGTGTATGATGCTTACTAGGTCCATTTCATGGCGTACTGTAGCCAGTCTAACAGAGTGTTTCTGGTGGTGAGCGGGTAATAAAACAAATGAGGTAACTGTAGGAATTGAACTGATTCTTTAGCGTTGTCCGAATATTTCATGCTTTCATTTGTCTTGAAGTAACTAAGTGTATCAGTTTTTAATGTGTATGAATATGAGCATCTGGATACCTTAAGTGGGTCTTCTCACTGAAAAGGCTTGCCTTAAAGGCCTTAAAAGGGTTAAAAGGCTTTCCAACAAAAAAAACAAGGGCAGTTTTGCTTTAAGTATATAGGTGTTCTACAAGGAAAAGATAGTGACCATTTTCCGCCTTTACTCCAGCTAGTTTAAATTACTGGTGTGGCACTACTAGTTCCCACTGATTAGCACCCCTATAAATGGCATTATCTGCAGACTGAGATGTTTAAAGCACAGGCAGTTTACATGTACATTACATGCCTTAGCATCCAGCAGAAGGTTATCTGGTTTAATATCTCTGTGGATGAATCCCAGCTGGTGAATAGCATCTATGGCCAGCACAGTTTCAGAAATGTAAAACTGTGTCTCCTCTTCTGATAAGGTGTCCTTCTTCATTAGTAAGGTCATCATGTCACCTCAAAGAGAAGAAAAAACAGCTTAGAAAATCAGAACATTTTAATCACAAGAATAATTCTACGTGAAACCCCAGCAGAATCCAAATTTAACCTTGTAACTGGCCTTATAGCTACTAATTATATAACTATTACTGCAAAGACCTACAAACCCAACATACTTTTTTAGTAAACTGGATGTAAAACTGTTGAAAATCCTAAATAGGAATTTTAATTAGATAGCCCAGGAAGATATAGTGAATTTTAACACATAATATGTGTATTGCACAAATAAACTGTTTAAACGAGAGCTTTTTGTTTGTTTAACTGTTAATAGCTTCAACACTAAAAAGCAGAACATTGGATTAGAATAATTATCTAATCCAAGTCTGTTTTACCATCCCTTCATAATCTTTCTCCTCCCCCTAAAAATCAGGAATGGTTACATTACTGGGACTTAATTTAAAACAGTGTTAAAATTTTTATTATCACAAATTACACAGCATGCTTGTTTCCAACATTTTATGAAGCTGACAACAAAAGCTAAGGAAGAAGTACTTGTATCACCTAACACTGCAACATACGGCTTACCTCCAGGTAAGAACTCCATGATCAGGTAAAGATTTCTTTTATCCTGAAAGCTGTAAAACATTTTCACCACCCAGGCTCCATCCGCTTCAACCAAAATATCTCTTTCTGCTCGGATATGTGCCACCTAAAATTTTTTAAAAGTAACTATTAAGGGACAATTTAAATATTTCAACAAGGAATACCATATTATATTCCTAGTCCTACAATATGTTTCCATGATCTTTAGCAAAGAAACTATTTGCCATGCTCTTTTCATACTCATATTTTTCATAGTTTTTTACTAGATCCTACGAAGTCCTCACAAAATACCCACCAGAAACCCAAAGAAGTCAACTCAGTGTTGTAAATAACTGTTCACACAACTTTGCAGAAGCAATCTCTAGAAACACAAAGCATAGCTTGTTAAGCTGTTTTTGTTTGTGGGAAAGAACTGACAAAGCTGGTGGAAAAGTGCAATTCCCTTTTTTACTATACCCTAAAATGAAACAGGAACATTCAAAAAAATTACAGCGCTGACCATCACAGAGCTTTATACGGTAGCATCCCCACGGCAAGCTCAGACAAAAATTTAACGTGCAACTCAAGGTGCAAATACTGACAAAATTCTTGGAGAAGGTCAGAGTTGGTCTTAAAGAATGCAAGAACCAAGAGGTAAAATGGCAGATGCGTTATGATTACTGTCAGAAGTTACCAGATTTCTCATATAGGCACACAATGAAACAAAGAGCTAATAGCTACTTCTATACAGACATCTCACAGTTTAAACTTGGCAAGATAAGCCTGGGGAATCTTCTCCAGCAAGAGTGACAGAATATCTAACCTAATTACTTCCTGCAAAACCCAATTCCTTCATCGCTGCGAGGAGAGAAACGCCTGTCTTACGGTCAACCACTGTCTAGTTCCCAAACCCACATTGTACACAGTGCTGATGGTGTCTGAACCCCTTCCAGATGGTACACAGAGACTGCTCCTACGCACGTACATGGCAAACCTTACTTGAACTGCATGGCAAATGCCTTGGTCAAGTGGGAAAAGGGCTGGGATGAGTTTCAGCCCTTACAGATGGTGGCAGGTAGCAATGAGCTCAGTGGCTAGTATTAAAATAAAAATGGTAAGGATCTTGGGCTATCTAAGGGGGGAGAAAGGGAAGAGAAGATGGAGCCGTTCTGTCAAGTGATGTGCATGAAGCTAGCCCAGAACTGATACGGCCGCCACTCCTGCTGATGTTGGTCCTGGGCGAGTGAGTTTGGGAATGTCTGACCTTGCTCAGGATATTCCAGTCCCAGATGAGGCTTTGAAAAATACATGGAGAGCTGCTACCCCATGAATTCACTGGAAACTAAGAATAATGGAGATTGGAGGAGGGGCATGTTTCACTAGAATGTACCCTCATCCTGAGGGAAAATGAAAGACATATGCATGGAAGAATATTTCTTGATAGCTGTAAGATTTTCATTATTCATACACCAGAAAGCAACTTGTGGAGAGAAAACATGTACCATTATTCCAGCTTCAAGGGCTATTTCCAATAAGCAGCAAACAGTCTTCTGCATCTCTTCCTCAATTCTACTGGCCAGGAGCATCTTTACATATGTATATGTTCTTAGCACAGGGTTTCACAAGGCAATGGGTTCTCTCTCTGCAGTACGCACTCCAACTGTGATTTATCTAGCTCTATCTAGTCTCGTTAGAAAATATTTCTTTCCACCCTCCACCTCTCAAGGTAGCTATAAAATATAATATTAAAACCTTGCTTAAAAAACAGCTGGGATATCTCCCAGTGCTATCAGACTTGGGGAAAAAAAAAAATTCAAGATTTTTTTGTGTGTGTGTCTTGTGTTGCTTTCCATTGAACAAACCATGCAATGAAAATTACAGCAGATAAACACCCTCCAGGGAAGATTATCATCCCAAACTAAACAGAGAGTGTAACCTCAGCCTCCTTGCCATATCAGGTTGTGAAATGGGGGAAGGGCTTTGACCAGAGGGCCACACACATCCTGGCTGCTGTGCAGAACATGCTGCTCCTCTGGCTCGCTATATTCAGGGCATGGGCTTAAGGAGATA